TGGGTGGAGAGAATTTCAAATTGCTTTTTTTCATGAAATTAAAATAGAATTTCATGCCCCATTGGTATTTCAATTCCGTAATTTTTAGGAAGAAAAAAAAAACCTTGAGACAGAATTGCCATTTTTAAACCTAAATTGATGTATCTATCTCGATTATAGCATGTTTTTTTTTCTACTCTCAACACATAATGCCAATCAGTAGGTCAACCTCAATCAAGTATATTATCTCAAAACTCTATTATATATTTTAGGAATAAGGGTCAAATAGGTCATTGAGCTACACACGAAAATACAATTAGGCCATTGAACTCAAAAAAAAAAAATGCAATTAGGTCTCTGAACAATACAAAATGATGCAATTGAATCCAAAGTGACCTGTTTTACTTGTTAATTTGCTGACGTGGAGGTTATAATATTAAAATAATAATTTTTTATTTTGTTAAATAATTTTAAATAACAAAATTAAAAAAAAAAAAAAAAAAAAAAAAAAAAAAAAAAAAGTCTTCCCGGTGAATTCTACCATGGTTTCCAGTTCGCTTGAGATCAAAGTTTCTCCGGTGGATGATGAAGCTCAGGCCACGACAAATGCCATCCTTAATGGGCTCGAGGTGTTTAAGATGAATAATTCTGTGGGGAGTCTGGACGGAGAATTCGGCGTTGATGGCACGAGGGTGTTAGAGGGTAATAACAACAGCCGTCAAACGGTGGTGGTTGTCGGATTCGCCATGATGTTCGGTTCGTTCGTGGGGGTTGGGGGCCATGCCCTTCAAGTTGCAGAAGCGGCCGCAAGACTGGCGAAGGATGAGCAGTTTCTCGTTGTGGTTGCTTCCCGTCCACGCCGGAGGCGCAACTTTCACGGCCCCCAACAAGACTCTGTTAAGATCGCGGCAGTAGAACCTGTTCTTCTCCTCAACGTCCGAATTCGGCAGGTATTTCTCTTTCTCGGAATTGCAGGAGGCTACCAACAACTGGGAGACGACCAAAATCATCGGCATCCGAGGCTTCGGCACCGTGTATTTTGGATTGGTGGACGAGAGAACCAAAATCGCTGTGAAACGAGGAAACCCATAATCCGAACAAGGCTTACACGAATTCCATACGGAAATCCTAATTCCAGTGCCAGAGACGAAGACCCCAACAGATTGGAGACGAACCCGTTTTTTTTTTTTTTTTTTTTTTTTTTTTTTTTTTTTTTTTTTTTCTTTGTTATTCAAAATTATTTAATAAAAATAAAAATTATTATTTTAATATTATAACCTCCACGTTAGCAAATTAACAAGTAAAACATGTCACTTTGGATTCAATTGCATCATTTTGTGTTGTTCAGGGACCTAATTGCATGTTTTTTTAGTTCAATGGCATAATTGCATTTTCGTGTGTCAATAGCCTATTTGACCCTTATTCCTATATTTTATTGCTTTCAATTCAATTCAAGAGTTTATTTACAATGTGTTACATAAAATTTCAAAAGCAAAATTTGAATTTGGTATATTTGTTTTCAACAACAAAATTTGTATTTTGTATGGGTATAACATATTTGCCTAAATTTTCATTCTTTATATGCCGCAATTGATGGTGTAATAATAATAATAATAATAATAATAATAATAATAATAATAAGAATAACAATAACAATAATAATAATAATAACAATAACAATAACAATAACAATAACAATAACAATAATAATAACAATAACAATAATAATAATAATAATAATAATAATAATAATAATAATAATAATAATAATAATAATAATAATAATAATAATAATAATAATAATAATAATAATAATAATAATAATAATAATAATAATAATAATAATAATAATAATAATAAATAATAATAATAATAATAATAATAATAATAATAATAATAATAATAATAATAATAATAATAATAATAATAATAAATAATAATAATAATAATAATAATAATAATAATAATAATAATAATAATAATAATAATAATAATAATAATAATAATAATAATAATAATAATAATAATAATAATAATAATAATAATAATAATAATAATAATAATAATAATAATAATAATAATAATAATAATAATAATAATAATAATAATAATAATAATAATAATAATAATAATAATAATAATAATAATAATAATAATAATAAATAATAATAATAATAATAATAATAATAATAATAATAATAATAATAATAATAATAATAATAATAATAATAATAATAATAATAATAATAATAATAATAATAATAATAATAATAATAATAATAATAATAATAATAATAATAATAATAATAATAATAATAATAATAATAATAATAATAATAATAATAATAATAATAATAATAATAATAATAATAATAATAATAATAATAATAATAATAAATAATAATAATAATAATAATAATAATAATAATAATAATAATAATAATAATAATAATAATAATAATAATAATAATAATAATAATAATAATAATAATAATAATAATAATAATAATAATAATAATAATAATAATAATAATAATAATAATAATAATAATAATAATAATAATAATAATAATAATAATAATAATAATAATAATAATAATAATAATAATAATAATAATAATAATAATAATAATAATAATAATAATAATAATAATAATAATAATAATAATAATAATAATAATAATAATAATAATAATAATAATAATAATAATAATAATAATAATAATAATAATAAATAATAATAAAATAATAATAATAATAATAATAATAATAAAATAATAATAATAATAATAATAATAATAATAATAATAATAATAATAATAATAATAATAATAATAATAATAATAATAATAATAAATAATAATAATAATAATAATAATAATAATAATAATAATAATAATAATAATAATAATAATAATAATAATAATAATAATAATAATAATAATAATAATAATATAATTTGACATTTTGAACTTTATACTACTTATTCTCTTTCAATTTTCATGTATACTAAATATTGAAATTGAAATTTCCAATAATGCTATTTCTACTAACCAAACATTGAAATTTATATTATCACATAATTTCTATCTCATGAAATTGCAATTCCTTTCCATCATACTTCCCTCCCTTCAACAAAATGCATCGCAAGTGTTCAAATTTTTATTGGAGGAAAAAAGAATGGGGGTGTGTATTGTTCGCACAAGGGAATCAAAATCGAAATGAGAATCAAATACTTGGTAATGGTAATGAGTTTTGGTGAAAGTATTTTGCATGTTTGGTAGTAAGATAGAATTTGAATGATTATTGATGTTTGCTTATGTATGACCCAATAATGTGAATAAATGTTTTAAAAATACAAAATAAAAAATTAAGACAATTGATTTTAATATAATGATATAATTACATGCAAAGCACCGATATGAACAAAAAAAAAAAATCAAAACAAAAATCTAAAAGCACTAATCCACACTTAAAAATCATATTACCATTAAGATAGAATAATACCCCCTTTTAATTATGGAATGATACTTTTAATTGAATGGTAATCAAATCACATAGTTGTGTTTTAAACAGTTGTTAATCGTACACTAAGGCCTTGTTTGGTTATTGGCGGATCCGCCATTTTCTGCGTTTTGACCATGTCAAAACGTACGCTAAAAACCTTGTTTGGTAAATGGCGATTTGGAGCATCGAATTTGATCCAAACCGTCAAAATCTGAAACGCTGCTAATATTGACATTTTGGACATTTGCCCAAAACGCCCTTAATTAATTTTTTTTTAAAAAAGTTTTGTTTCATTAACACTAAATAAGGAAGCCTATGTTTATTTTCTTAATGGAAACGAATGTGCGTCGTGAGCGTGCGGAACGCCTGAGAATGAAACTCAACTATGAGGGTCTTTTTTATGTAGATGGAGGTGGTCTTAGAGGTGGTTTGGCTCTTTGGCTCTTTTCTGGCGTGATAGAGGGGTAGCCAGTCTGATCAGCTTTTCAGATAATCACATTGATGTTCAGGTGCAGCTGCCTGGCAGTGACCCTTGGAGATTAACGTGTTTTTATAGCTTTTCGGATAGGTAGTGTCGCCAACAGTCGTGGAATTTGCTGCGGTCCCTTACCAGAAATCACAGCTGTCGTGGTTAGTTATTGGTGACTTTAACGACATTGCCAGCCCAACGGAAAAACGGGGACATCACCCTCACCCCACTGCTTTAATCAATGGATTCAATCAAGCTTTAGATGATTGCGAGCTTTTTGATTTGGGGATGAGAGGCCGGAAGTTCACTTGGGAGCATGGAAAAGGTACTGATCATTCGGTGGAAGAACGTTTGGATAGGGCTGTTGCCGGGGCAGACTGGTGCAGCATGTTTCCTCAAGTGACGGTCTATAATAAAGAGGTGATGAATTCTGATCATTCGGCTCTGTATATTGAACTTGACGAGCCACTAGTTGCGCGTCAACGAAGATCTTTTCTTTTTGAAAATGCTTGGCTACAAGAGGCGGGATGTAAGGAGGTGGTTATAAGCGCATGGAATACTACTGCCGGAGAAATTATTCCAGTAAGACTTGATTACTGTGGATCTTCATTGAAAGGTTGGGGAGGCAATCTGGTTAAGAAACTTGAGAAGGAAATTGCTTCACTCCAAGAACAACTTAATGCTCTCCAAGATAGACGTGATGCAACTTCTTTAAGCGCAGTACGTAACATTGATGGACGGTTAAGTGAGTTGAACGACCAGTTGAATGCCTACTGGCGTCAACGTGCGAAACAATTCTGGCTGGATAGAGTAGACCGAAACACTAATTTTTACCATGTTTATGCTTCATCCCAAAAGAGAAAAAATATGATAATGAAGTTGCAAGATGAAAGTGGACAGTGGATTGAAGGCCCTAATTTATTGTTATTGGCTAAGCGTTACTACACAGATGTGTTTACCGCAAAGGGAGTAACTGGAGATGATGTTCTACACAATTTATCTACGGCCTTTCTCGTATGAAGAAGTGAAGGAAGCACTCTTTAGCATGGCCCCAGACAAATCTCCGGGTCCGGATGGTTTCTCTCCGGCTTTTTTTCAGCATTTTTGGAAGGAAATTGGGGTTGATGTCTCGCGGTTCATCATAGATTGTATTGAAGGTAATCATTTTTCAGATGGGATGAACGATGCCATAATCACTTTGATTCCCAAAAAAACCTCTCTCGTATCTATGAGCGAGCTCCGCCCTATAGCTCTATGTAATGTTCTCTATAAGATTATTTCCAAGATGCTTGCTAATAGGCTGAAAATGGTGCTGGAAAGGATTATATCTCCCGCTCAAAGTGCGTTCTTGTCGGGTCGTCTTATTACGGATAATGTACTTGTAGCGTCAGAAGTAATCCATTTTTTAAACCGTAAGCGGCAAGGCCGGGATGGTTGGTGTGCCCTAAAACTTGACATGGCAAAGGCGTACGACAAAATGGAGTGGTCATTTCTTCATGCAATGATGACATGGCTGGGTTTTGATAGTAAATGGATAGACATTATTCTCCGGTGTGTCACTACGGTTCGGTATAAGGTCGGAATAAACGGGAACTTATCTGAGTATATTCTTCCTTCATGTGGATTGAGGCAATGTGATCCCTTATCTCCTTATTTGTTCATTTTGTGTGCGGAAGGTCTGTCCTATTTGTTAACGAGGGCAGTCCAAAGAAATGAAATATCACCATGCATAGTAGCCAGAGGTGCGCCGCGAATTTCCCACTTGTTTTTCGCAGATGACTCTTTGTTATTTTTTAAGGCTACTGTTTTGGAAGCTACTTTTGTGAAAAATTGTCTCAGCCACTATGAGTTGGCCTCTGGGCAGGTGGTGAACTACACTAAGTCGTGTGCTATTTTCAGCAAAAACACGACAGAGGACTGTAAGGAACAAGTAGCGGGAGTTTTTAACGTGCCTTACTCTAACAACATTGGGAAATATCTTGGGTTACCGGTGGGCATTGGTCGAAATAAAAAAGAGGTCTTCTCTTTTATTGAGGCAAAGTTGGCACAACGTGTTGGGGGGTGGAATAAAAAGATTCTATCTAGAGCTGGGAAAGAAGTTCTATTAAAGAGTGTCGCCCAAGCACTCCCTACATACACGATGAGTATTTATTTCTTACCGACTACCTTTTGTGAAAGACTTGAGCGAAACATGAACAAGTTTTGGTGGGGAGTGAAAAGCAGGAATGGTGGTGGCATAAGGTGGATGTCCTGGGGACGTATGTGCTATCCGAAATCTTGTGGTGGTATGGGTTTTAAAAAGCTGAGTAGCTTTAATCTGGCTTTACTAGCCAAGCAAGGATGGCGTCTTTTAACGAATCCTAATTCTTTGGTGGCTCGCTTATACAAAGCAAGGTATTTCCTAAATTCAGATTTTTTTGTCGGCAGGGTTGGGTGCAAATCCTAGCTATTGTTGGCGATCGATCTTGGCTGGCCAGGGTGTGTTAAGCGTGGGTGTTATAGACGCATTGGAAATGGAGCCTCAATACTGGTATGGAACCACCCATGGCTACCGTGTAATGAGGACCCTTTCATAAGCTCTGAGATGCATGCAGGCAGTGCTAATATGAAGGTCATTGAACTCATAAAACAGGAAACTCAAGATTGGGATGTAGCATTATTACATAATCTGTTTGAAGCACGTGATGTAGAGCTTATTAAGAAGATCCCCCTGGCAACACAATTTGAGGATCAGTGGTGTTGGCGAGGGGATTTGCGAGGCATGTATACAGTTAGGCAGGGTTACCGACTACTGACTGAAGAAATATATGGTGAAAATAATTATAACGAGTGGGCTGTTATTTGGAGTTTAAAAATTCCTCCCAATATCCGAAACTTTCTATGGAGATGCTTACATGGTATATTACCAACAATGAAGGCCCTAGCTGATCGACATCTGAGTGTGGTTGGTTTATGTCCTTTATGCCATCAACAGGTGGAGTCCTTAAAGCATGTTATGTGTGATTGTGTTCAGGTTTCCAGGTTATGGGATGATATGCCGGCTGTCCAGTTGCCTAGCTCTGAGGAGGATTTCAGTAGTTGGTTTTTCTCCAGATTGGTAACTTATGAGTTGCATGTGCTGTTACGATGTGTGGCCACCATGTGGTGCATCTGGAGGGAGAGGAACAACGTGGTCTGGAACCAAAAGCCTTGGAGTTGCTCGGCTGTTTATCATGAGGTGCAGAGGTTATTGAATGACTGGAGTGATATGGACTGCTCACGTAGTACTGCAGCTTCACAAATTAGGAACGGTGGACTCAATGTGATCGCTAATCATCTGTCTTTGGTTCAAGAGGATGGCTTCGCAATTTATACAGATGCTGCAGTGTTCGTAGAAAGGGATTTTGCTAGCTTTGGAGTGGTGATTATGGATAAGTTGGGCAATGTCGTGGCTGCCAAGAATGGGCCGGTGCGGTGCTTAAACGATGTAAACTTGGCGGAGGCAATTGCCATCAAGGAAGCACTATCTTGGGCTTATGATCGAAGGATGACAAAGGTGGCGGTCTTCTCGGATTGCCAAACTGTTTGTAATGCAATTAATGGCATGGCTTTGGACTATTAAGTTTAGGGTGTGTAATTAGTCAATGTCGCTCTCTCAAACGACACTTTGAAGTAGTGTCCATCACTTTTATTCCTAGATCAGAGAATCGGTTAGCTCATGCCATGGCTAGAGCTAATAGTTCGTCTACTGGTCCTAATGTTTGGGTTGATTCTATTCCTTCTTGTATTGACTCTTTGGTTTAATAAAATGTTGAAGCTTTGGTTGTCAAAAAAAAAAAAAAAGGAAGCTAGAGGTTTTTTTTTTTTTTTTTTTTTTTTTTTTTTTTTCTGCCCATCCAATGTGGGAATCAGATAGGTTGGATTAAATTAGGGAGCGCTGAACTCCCCTTTTAGTTAATATTTTGATGTGGGATCATTTGATCCCACATCAGTTTGTTTGTTTGTTTGTTTTTTTTAATTATTATTGTTTATTATTATTATTATTATTATTATTATTATTATATGCATAATCTTTTTGTCATTTTACATATTAACCGCTAATCTAAACAGTTAATTTTATCAAACATTCTTCCAAAAGGGTGAACCCCAACCCTAAGGGCCCCACACACCCCCTAATTTTATCAAACATATTTGATACTGCTAATTCTACGTAAGCAATATAAAATAAACCCGAGACCAATTAAAGCAAGTAAAAATCTTTATTGATCACGGTAAAGGCCCTAAGTACAATCTACTTGGTTGCTCTGAGTGCCGACTGACCGCGGTCGGGATTCTCTAGTAACAACCTATCGATCGTCCAAAAGTCCTCTACACTGTAGCTACTGTGGGTATTTATAGCCGCTGTGCCGGGGATAAGAATCCGGTCATTCGGCATGTTCTCCACGTAGCCACCACGTGTCACCCTCCCGGGTGCCCTATCTGTCGTCGTAAAGAGCTGCCACGTGTCCTTTGTCAGCTCTCTCGCCAAAGGGCTACCGCTCGGTGGTCGACACTACTGCTCGGGCAACTCCCGGTCGGACCCCGACCGGGTTCTTCACATGAAGCCCGACCTGTCACCTGCAAAACGAAGAGAGAAGAACAAAGATATGTCGGTCGGGGTAAAGCTTATGTCGGTCGAGATATTCCCTACCAAAAGCCCCCCAGCCCGGGCCTTTTTGACCGTCCGGGAAAAAACGGGACGGGATGAAGAAGCCCAAACGTCAGCCATCAAACCGACTGGCCAGCTGTCATTCCTTCCCTCGCCACGTGTCGGCTACTGCCGGCCTCTGCGACTGCAACGGTCGCCTCGGAATCAGCGCTGGTCGTGTCACGCAAGTGGATTGGTTTCTCGCCCAAATGCTCTCCTATAAATAGGCCCTTGAGGCCTTCAAATGAACTTTCCTCAATCTTCTGATCCAATCGGCACCCTCTAAGAGTCCCGAGCGAGTTACTCAGCAGATCAACCGAGCAACTTACCTATCAACTTCAGCCAAGTTTCTCCAATCAGTAAACTCTCTATTCTTTAGCTTTTACTTTGCTTTTAACTTTGCGTAGGAATAGGATAGAACTAACTTCGAACTAACTTCCCGAACCCTGTACTAACCCCGACCGACCTTTAGGTAGAAAACATGTCGGATTCGGATAGCCAGAACGCTTCAGTCGCAGACTACGACAACACGATCGAGCAGAACAGCGAGGAGGTGGACATCATGTCCTACTCTCCAGAGGTCGAGCAACGACCACAACACATACCCAACCGAGCCCCCGAGCCAAAAGGGTCATCGAGCTCGTCGGGGACATCGGGGTCGAGCTCCAGCAGGTCGGGGAGCGACGAAACGTCCCCGAGCGGATGAAACTCCCCGGACGAAGGCGTTAGGGAAACGCCTACGAGGGTAATAGGGGATTACCCTCAGGTCGAGCCCGAGGAAGGACATCGGGCAAACGAAACCGAAGCGGATGAGGAAGACCCGGCCGGGCCGGCATCGTCGAGCGGGAACGGGTTTGAATTCCTCAACAGCGAGAGCGTCGAAGGCCAGACGAGGTTGCTGACAAAAGGAGAAGCAAGCAGAATCGCGGCAACTCTCGCTGGTCGGGTCGAGTTCGACACCAGCAGGCAGCTCGGGAATATCATCGAGTGGCATCAGGGGAAGTGGATCGGGATGCATTACGATTCGTTAATGGCCCCGATCACGTTCCCCTTCTCAGCCTCCTCACCGCATTCCTGGGCTACTACCAGGTTATGCCCGGACAGATTTGCCCGAACGCGCACCGTATGATCGCGTGTTTCCCCCAGATCTGCAATCGGCACAACTTAGCCTGCACCATGGAGCTCTTCAACTTCGTCTACTAAGTGAAGGTGCTGGCGGCCGCGTACGGGGGTGGATTTTTGATGACCCAGTCCCGAGCGGATAAATGCTCGATTGAGGGGCTGCCCGGGAACAACCGGGGGTGGTAGAACCAGATCTTTTCTGTAAAGTACGATCCGTGGATCCTCCCGGTCGAGAGGGTCTGGAGTCAACGCTTTCGAAAGCAAGTCATCCCAATCGAGACCCAGGCCCTCATAGATGCTGTGACCAAGATCTCGAGCGAGATTTATGAATATCGCATCTTCAAATCGCCCGAGTGCTACGAAGCGGCTCAGCTGCCCGAGCCGGTCTACAATCTGACCGAGAAATACAAACCCGAGCCGGCGGGTGTAACAATTGCACGGATGCCCGCCCGGGGCAAAAGGAAGGGTAAAGGTTTAAGGCTTCCCTTTCTCCGACCCTTAACATCCCGATCATGCTTTTAACTCGACCTAACCCACTTCGTTTTTGTTTTGCAGTGATGGCCGGCTTTGGAGACGAGGATGTTCCTCTACGCCCGGTGGCCAAGATTTCCCTTGGCAAGAAGAAGGCCCAGGCCAAGCCGGCCGGGGAAAAAGAGATTCCTGTTGCCCGACCCATAGGGGCATCGACCGTCACCACGGCTGAAGGCTACGTGGTGGACGCCTCGGAGGTCCTAGTCACCCGAGTGGCGGTCGGGAAGGGCAAGGAGAAGACGACGGAGAAGAGCGTCTCCGAGACCGGGGCCCTAAAACGGCGCCGCGAGCAACACAGCCCGACGCCTTCAGGCGGGGGCAGCAAGGGCGGGTCTTCGATTCTTGCCCGGATTGGCAACACTGGCCCGGCCAAAGAGGACCTCACGAAGCTGTCCCCGAGCCAGGTAGCCGAGAAGATCGGCTACGACCTAGCTGAGGTAAACCCGTTCCCTTCCTTTTAAACTTTGTGCAAGTAACTCCACTCGGCTAACTTGATTGTTTTCATGCACTGCAGATCTCCCGAGCGGCCCAATTCCTTCAACAACGGGCATTACAGGCCAACGAAGCTGAGGCCTTGAAGAAAGTCGCCAACCGGCGATTACAGGAGATCCGGGACCTGGAGGCCGAGCTCAAAAAGGTTAAGGCCGAGCGGGATCTCTCAGAGCAGGTCGCCCAGCAGGCGATCGGGGAAGCAGCCGAATTAAGGGCTCGTCAGAATGACCCGGACAAGCTCGCCCAGCATCTTTTCCAGGACACCGAATCGGGCACTCGTTTTCTCCAGTCCATTCGGGGTACGGAGGTTGGGGAGAAACTGGTGTGGACGTTTGGCCGGTGGGCGTACAAAGCCGGTCAACGAAAAATGCGCGACCAGACGAAGAAGATTATGGAGCAAGCCCTTGAAGGGGATGATCTCCAGTTGGTCTTAACTACACTCCCCGACGACGTAGCCGACCCGGGGCCAGCACCTTTTGATCCGAAGGATCGGACCAAGGCGAGCGGAGCTGGGGCCGCCCCGAGCGGAGAGGGACTGCCGAAGAAGGGCGATGCTGAGACCACGAAGAAGTATGATAGGTTTAAATTCTGCTTCCTTGTGTAAGTGATGCCAATCGGGAGCCCGGTCCCGAGTTGTACCGGGCACGTTTTTTGATTAATAAATCTCTTTTATGTTTCAACTTGTGTCGTTCGTTTTTTACTTTATATCTTTGTTTTCAACGTGCGCACACCGATCGTAGCCGATCGTAGATGCTCGACCTTACATCCTTTTAGCCCGGTCGTGCCTCCAAGATTTCGACATCATATTGGCCTAACCGACCGAGTTTACCCGATCCTCAGACCTTGTCGAAATTTTGAAAGTAGGTAAGCCTCTACGTTCCGGATATCTCCGAACGACGGACCTGATCAGGTTTACCCGATCTCCTGGCCTTGACGAAATTTTGAAAATAAGTAAGCCCCCACGGTCGGGTCTTTCCCGAGCAACGGGCCTACAGACACTTCCTTCCCAGCCCCCACACTATTGTGCTCTCGAGGCACGAGTGAGTGCGATAGTGGAAAGGAGTTGAATAGATAGGGGAATTATGCTGAACGCTCCTGGCTTCCCCGATCAAATGGCGTGACCCGAATGTCCGCCGAAGAGGAGCGTATTTGACCGGTCGATAAACTCGCTCGGTCGATGTAACTTGATCTGCATGCACTAAAGGTATAGAAAATAACCGACCGGGCTGCCGCATGCAAGCGGTCGAGCAATCACCGATCGTATATACATTAAACCTTCTCGCTCGCAGGCGGTTAACTAGTATTTACAATAATAAATTTAATTACAAATGACGACCGGGACTAACTCGCAGGTCGAGCCCCCACCCCGTCCAAAGATTACAAAAGATAGGCTAGTGCCTAAACATAACGAGGTGCTCGGAATTCCAAGTCCCCTCGATTATCCGACCGGTTGTCGTCTCCAGTCGGTATGTACCCGGCCGTATAATAGCACTGATGATGTACGGCCCTTCCCAATTTTGAGCTAGCTTTCCGCCCTCCAAAGGTTGACTGGCCTCCCTCCGTCGTAAAACGTAATCTCCCACCTGAAAATAACGAGGGTTGACCCGAACATCCTTCAAACTCTTGACCCGCTTCTGATACTCGGCCATACGCCGAGCGACTAGCTCTCTTTTTTCCTCGACCCCGTCGAGATCCACGACCATCGCATGTTCGTTCTCCTCCGCATTGTAGGTTCTCTCTCGATCGGTCGGGATCCAAGCCTCGATCGGGAGTCGGGCTTCTGCTCCATA